TTGCGGTTGTGCACGTCTCAGCCCCAGTGGGATCTGCACCCTGACCATTTATGGTCTTGGTGCTGGCCTCCAGAACATCTGCACACTTTCCAGAAACTCAAGATGCTTATCAGACCCTTGCCCTAAATAACCTGAGATAGCCTATCCCCCATGGAAAAATATTTCCTTTCTTCTGTCAGAGTTAATTATAATTCTTGCCAGACAAACTCGAACAACTTTGTGTCCTTTTGCCCTTATAAGTCCCTGACTCTTTCTCTCCCCCAGAATGCTCTGTGGGTTTTACCTGAATCCGTGACTCTTGAGTTTCGATTCTTAAAATCCCAAGTTGATACTGGTCATTGTTTTAGAGCATCTGTCTGTGTGTTTATGTATTTATGTGTATGTACCATTTTTCTATCTAAGAATGGTACTGTCAAAATGAACTTGAAAAACTTCTTGAAGAGCTCTATTTTAATTGGCTTTTAGAAAAATAATTATTTATGTAAAGTAAATATTCCTAAAATTCTTAGAAATATTGGAACTGACTCAAGTGTTTTTCAAATTTATGTGATATGGGATAAGTCATCTTGGACTACTGGACTGCTCTTTTCTTTCCTTGGACTATCCTTAATAAGAATAATAATAAGGGCTTCCCTCATAGCTCAGTTGGTAAAGAATCTGCCTGCACTGCAGGAGACCCCGGTTCGATTCCTGGGTCGGGAAGATCCCCTAACGAAGGACATGGCAACCCACTCCAGTATTCTTGCCTGGAGAATCCCGTGGACAGAGGAGCCTTGCAGGCTACAGTCCATGGGGTTGCAAGAGTCAGACATGACTAAGCAACTAAAGAGAGAGATTCTTTTTATTTTTTTTCATTTATTTTTACTAGTTGGAGGCTGATTACTTTACAATATTGTAGTGGTTTTTGCCATACATTGACATGAATCAGCCATGGATTTATATGTGTTCCCCATCCCGATCCCCCCTCCCACCTCCCTCTCCACCCGATCCCTCTGGGTCCTCCCAGTGCACCAGGCCCGAGCACTTGTCTCATGCATCCAACCTGGGCTGGTGATCTGTTTCACCCTAGATAGTGTACTTGTTTCAAGAGAGAGGGATTCTTAATAAGAGACTGTGAAAGACTTGCTTTATATATATATATATATATAAATATATATATATATATATATTTTTTTTTTTTCCAAAGAGGAAAAGAGACAAGTTTATTGAGAGGCCAGTGCCACTCACTCCCCTGCCGTGGCTGGAGAGACCAAGCCAGCGGTGAGTTTCTTCCTGATGACCGTCTCCAGGGCTGGCAGGCCAGGCAGCCCCCTAGGTCCCTCCTGTGTCCCTCGGTCTCCCGTGACAGGCCGAGCACCTGTGTGGAGCAGCTTGCTCGGCTGCAGCCAACTAGGGCTCCTGCTTTGGGCCTGGGAGAAAGAAGGTGGCGGGGTGCTGGCTGGACCCTCTGCTCCACACCCCTCTCCTGGCCCCCCAGGCCCTCTTGCTTTATATTTTGAATAGCCACCTAGGAAGCAAAGATTCCACATACTTCAGGTTGTCTTTCTCATGTCTTTGATTATGAAAGAAAGCTGAGTCTTCCCAATATTGGAAGTGCTAGGTTTTTTTTTAATCATGTTATTCCCTATACTCATTTTTTAAGTCTTTTGTTGTCATTTTGGTCAGATAAATATTTTTCATAGTGATCTGTGAACCTATTTAGTCAAGTGTTCAAAACTTTTTGACATTTTGGACAACTTTCCAAAATCAAATTCCAAATGCAATCTTCCTGACCTTGAGACTCAGAAGTTTCCCAGAGGATCTCAGAAGATCTCAGAGGATTTGTTCTCTCATTTTGTAAAAAGAGATGCTGAACTCCTTAGGTCTATTTGCTATATTAAATGGTATTGGAAACATTCTCAAATAAAAAGTGATACTTAATCTTCCTTAGGTTATATTTATATAGATGAAAGGTTGTTTCAGAAATTATAAGAAGTTCCTAGAAATTTGTCAACATTCTTGCTTTCCATGGTATGTCCTTAATATAGTGCTATTTATCGTTCCAGTTACCTTCACAGGAACAACCAAATTGCCTTGCAAATTGTAAACTCTCATCAAATCTTTACCTGTAGTCATTTTAAGCCTTTTACCATTTACAGACAGCTATTTTTTTCACTCTGGTATTTTCCCAATTGCTCTGTAATCAAATATAGGCCAAAGTTCTTCATCTTAAACAGAAAAAGCACCATCCTTGGGACATGGGGAAGGACGGTCCTCTGAGAGCAAAGACTCCTGGCCCCTTTCCTTAAATAACTCTAAGGTCACACCACTGTGCTGGGCAAAATTCTTCAGGACGGGTGGAGAAGCTGATGGATTCGTGTAACTGCCAACTCAGATCAAGCAGAACAAGAATTCATTACATGGGACTAAATGAACTGATGAAGAATGGTTAGTTAAGATTTTTATGGCTTTTTTGTTAAAACTTCAGATTCTTCAACGTTTGTTTTTCCAGATTTAAGGGACCTCTTTCCTCTTTTCTCTTAAGCTACCTGTTATTGTCCAATTGCTCAGTCGCATCCGACACTTTTGTGACCCTATAGACTCTAGCCTGCCAGAAGCCTCTGTCCATGGGATTCTCCAGGCCAGAATACTCGAGGGGGTTGCCTTTTCCTTCCAGGGGCTCTTTCCCACCCAGGAATTAAACCAGCATCTCCTGCATCGGCAGGTGGGTTCTTTACCACTGAGCCACCAGGGGAGCCATAAGCTACCTATAACTCAGAGCAAGTTGCTGAGTTATACCTTTGCAAACAGAACAGAACCACTTATCTTTCTCCCTGATCTCTCCAGGACTGGAAAACTCTTCCTGAGTGTTCTTATCGTCATAGAAATCTGGTTATTCCCTTGAGTCCAATAAGACTCTGTTCTCCTTATAGCAGGACAAGGTGGGAAACTTTGGTTATACAACAAAGCTTTGACTGGATGTGGTTTTGGAGACTGTACATTGCTGTGCCTGACATTAAGCTTTTGATTGTAATCTAAGTGCTTGACACTGAGGTTTTGATTGCAACGGCATCAGCTTCGAAGACATCCATCTCAAATAAACATATTGCCAGCTATATGATATAGTTACTAGCCAAACAACTGATGAAGGGGCCAGGCTGCCCCACCCGCCAAGTTCCCCTGTTAGGAAGTCCTGGATAAACCAGATAACTGACCATTTGAGTGGCCTGCTTCTCCCATCCGTGCTCAAATTCCCACTCCTACGTTTCAAGCCACCTATAAAGAGTGCGCGTGAAACCCGACACTCCACCTTTGGAGCCCGATGAGGGCAGAGCCCCAGGTTCAGGCATGCTCTTCCCACGACCTCACCGTGTGGTCCTGACAGGCCATGTGTGGCCATGCACCCTTCAGGATCCGTGAGGAATCCTTTTTGGTTCGGTTTGTCTCCATAGACAGGTGCAGGGCTGACAGTCTGGGCCACTCGGTAGAGATCAGTCTATTCTGGACTGTGAGTCTTCCTGGGAAAGTTTCAGACAGGAGAACGATGGGGTGCAGGAAAAGCTCTTCCAAAACCCAGGGCCACTCCTTACGCTGAAAAACAAGAGGAGGCAGAAACAGGAAGGTCTTCTGACCTTGCCTCCACCCTCCTTCCCTGGAATCCACTCCACACCCAAAGAAAGGAGCAGCCTCGTCTCTGAAGACAAATGTGTGCCGAGAAGAAGCCCAGGACGACACGGACCTGCCGTACGGCTCAGGGGGCTTTGCTCAGGGTCATGGAAAGGGGGCCTGGGGGACACCAGACGAAGAGTGTGTGTGTACGGCTGAGTCCTTTTGCTGTCCTCCTGAAACTAGCACAGCATTGTTAATCTGTTATAAGTGACAGTATTAATTATTGCTAACATTGTTAACTAGCTATAATACAAAATAATAATTTTTTAATTAAAATACATTACCAACAAGGACCTACTGTACAGCTCAGGGAACTCTGCCCAATGTTACGTGGCAGCCTGGCTGGGAGGGGAGTTTGGGGGAGAATGGGTACATGCACGTGTCTGACTGAGTCCCATTGCTGCTCACCTGAAACTCTCACAACACTGTGAATTGGCTACACTCCAATATACAATAAAAAGGTAAAAAAAAAAAAAATCCCAACCAACGGGCCCTGTTCACGACACTTACCTCCTACTCGCTGATCAACCACATTCCTCCAGGACTGTTCCTCCCTCATCAGAGCCAGTATGAAAACCCTCAAGTCCATCCAACCGTCTCCTCAGACCTTCATTTCCTTATGAAGGTTTCCATTTCACGTAAGACACATTAAATCAACGTGTATGCTTTTCTCCTGTGGGTCTGTCTTTGTCAGTGTAACTTTCAGACCCAGTCAGGAACCCCAAACGGGCAGAAGAAAACTTTTTCCTGCCCTGCGAGAGCCAGTGTGTGCTCAGCCTCAGGCGTGTCCGGCTCTTTGCGACCCCATGGACTGTAGCCCACCAGGCTCCTCTGTCCACGGGCTTCTCCAGGTAAGAATACTGGAGAGGCTTGCCATTTCTTACTCCAGGGGATCTTCCCGACCCAGGGATCGAACCCAGGCCTCTTGCATCTCTCCCATTGGCAGGCGGATTATTTTCCACTGAGCCACCACTGAAAACTACACCCTGTAGTCTGAACTGACTACACACGTGTGTCTCCCAGGCATCTGTGAAGATGGAGGTTCTGACTCAGCGGGTCTGAGCTGCCCCCGCGCTCTGCATTTCCAGCAGCTTCCAGGAGAGCTGGGGAAACAGCCAGCGGGTCTCCGGGAGTAAAGAAGGAGCCAGAACAGGACGTGTTCCTGCGCAGAGACCCCAGCCCGCCTCCCACCTCCTTGCCAGCTACAGACCCCGAGCACGACTCTCTCTGCCCCCCTACATACGGGCAGGACCCGGCTCCTCTGCTGCCGTGATGTCACACACCCTGGGCATTCCGCTGCGTCCTGGAGACCGAGGCGGGAGAAGCTGAGGGGCCTCCTCCTGTGGAGGGGCATGGCGGCCACCACGGGAGTGACCCTCCTGGTCCTGTTGCTCTACTGCGGGCAGGGAGCCGAGCTCCCGCCGACCAGCGTGACCTCAGGTACAGCCTCGGGGCGGTCGTGGCCGGGGGGACACGGGGCCCCCGGCTGAGTCCGGGGCTGCGGGGTTCTCCCAGGCTCTTCCCCTGCGTGCCTCCCCAGATTTACCACTTAGTCCTAGAGGACGGAGCAAGCTGCATGGCTATCCTGTATTCGAAGAGTTTTTCAGGTCCCACACTCCGTGGGAGAGTAGCGTGCATTATATACTTTAACTTTTATGATGGAAATTTCTAGCTTACCCAAGAGTAGAGGAGGCGTGGAAAGAAACTCCATTACCTGGTTTCAGTCGTCTACATTTTCCATCTTGTTTTGCACACACACACACACTTTTGTGGTTATTGGAGTATTTTGCCATCGCCCAAAATGTCTTAGGATTCCCTGCAAACGCGTCTTGCTAAGATGAGGGCATTTTCCTTTCACGCACCTTCAGTGTCACTGAAGCACTAACAAAATGAAGAAAACTCCTTGAGCAGGGCCAATCCCGGCCCACGCCCAAACCTCCCACCCCCCCCACCCCCGTCTCAGAATGTCCTTTACAGGCAGCAGGTTCGAATCCCGCCCGGGCAGGCCCCGCTGGGCTCTGGCCGCGGCATCCCGACCCCTGGGTGGAGGAAGGCGACAGCGGATGCCCCCCTCCTGGGATGTGACTCACTGGCCGAGGAGTGCGGGGGGCGGGGTCCCCCATGACCCCACTTTTCTGCCGGGAGACCTGAGCCCAGGCCCCCTCTCACCCTCCTCAGAGGGACAAGCCCAAGGAACGAGGCCCTGCCAGGCCCCCTGCCCGGCGCCCAGGGGACGAGCGGCCTGGGGGGTCCCCACAGGGCTCGGGCGGCTCCCCCGAGAAGGATGCGGCCTCAGCCTGGCCCCAAGTGACTGGGGAGGCCCAGCCTGCTCCGGGTCTGGGCGGGAGGGCAGGGGGTCCCCTGTCCGACCTCGCCGTGAAGAAGCCGGCATCTCCAGTGGTCTTTCCTCAGGACACTGAGTTTTGAGGCGCCTGCAGGGAGGCATCCCCTGGGTGCCGGGGCGCGGGGTCTGTGACAGGCGGGGATGGGGGCTCACCCCGCGCTGGCTCCCCGCTGTCGCTCCTTTTGTGACTCACCGCCCCTGCGCCAGCGGGAATGGCTCCCGCTGGGACTGACCCGAGTCTCCTGACGAAGCCCTGAGCCCGGCCGGTTCCTCGTCCCAACAGAGCGTCCGCAGCGACCCCAAGGGAGCTCAGGGTGGGTCCCGGGCTGTGGTCTCTGCTCCGGCCTCCAGCCTTGGCAGACACCGGGCTGGCCTGACCCCGAGGACAGCTCAGGGCGGGTCCCGGGCTGTGGTCTCTGCTCCGGCCTCCATCCTCAGCGGACACCGGGCTGGCCTGACCCCGAGGCCGGGAAGGGGGCAGCCCTGGGCCCCGCGAGGGCAGAGGTCACCGTCCTGATTCCCCGGATGGAGCAGAGCACGCCCGCAGAGCTCCACGGCGAGCCCGTGCGGGGCCAGGACGCGTGCTGTGCAGACACGGGGCAAGCAGCGTCGTCCCCGCGCGGGCACAGGGCCGGGGGACCCCGGACGGCAGAGGAGACGCCGGCGGACAGGCAGCCACCCTGACCGCGCGCTGCACGGGCTGGGCGGGTGTCACCAAACATCAATATTTCTCTGCACACGCGCGCGGGCGGGCTTGCACAATGGCTCCATTATAATTAGGGACAGACGCAAAATGAGCAGGATGTTTTTAACAAAGCGCTCGCAGGAGCAGCTGTGCCCGTCCCTAATGACTCGCTAACGGCGCCTCCGAAGAGGACTGTGCTTCTGTTTGCGGCGCTGACGGAGGTCAGCGCACTGGGAGGCGATTGTCATCACAGCACAGACCTTTCTCTGCAGTTTTCCTGCATTGTTCTAGCCCGCGTGTGCGCAGATGAGCGATTGCTATGCAGATTGTCCGTCATTAAAACCATTTCAAAATCAACGTCGTTGTTGGTTTAGTGCAGGAACTCCAACGCCCGCAGACACCACCTGAACACTCTGTGTGTGCCATGGGAAGGCAGCCTTGCCCGGGGTCCTGGGGGGCGCTGTCTTCTCTCTGGTCTCCTGGGGACCCCGGGGCTCCTGGGGGGCAGCCGTATGCTCTCTGGTCCCCCCGGGGCTGGAGGACAGGGCTGATCTTGACCTTGAGTGGAGGACATGGACCCCAACCTCAGCTCTGAGAAGAGTGGGAGGCACCCTGGGGGTGCAGCGGGGACCGGCGCTCAGGGCCCCTGCACCCTGCCCGGCTCCACATGGCTGATTCAGGTCAGCGAGGCCGGGAAGGTGGAGCCAGGGGTCCAGGGCCTCACGGAGGACTGGCTTCCAGAGACCAGCCCCCGGGGACCGAGCACCCCAGGGGATCACTGTTTACAGACGAGGATCTGCAGGGGCCGGGCTTTCTAGGTCCCCAACCAGAGTGGCAGAAGGCAGGTGGCCGTGCCCGTCTCCCTTCCTCCCTGCTACGTCCTCGGCCCCCAGACAGGCTCGCGGCTGGAACTCATCATCAGGGAGGAGAGTGTGGTTTTCACAGAAGGACTGTCCCTTCTTACCCTCCCCGAGGGTGGCACCAGTGAGCCTGCCAGGAGCGGGGCTAGTTCCCAGGGCAGGGCCACCGTCATCACCCTCCAACCTCCGTCCAGACGAGCCCTGGGTCCCCAGATCCCATGCGGATCTCCCTCCCCTCGAGCAGGCTGGTGGGCCCACAAAACCAAACCTATTTGGAGAGAATCAGTACCTATTCAAGGAACGCTGTTAACCTACCAGGGTCTTTATTTCCCCCCAGCTTCAAGCACTGAAACGCCAGCAAATCTAAGTAATCTGGATGATGATATGGCTACAATATTCGGTAAGGAACCCCTCTTCTCAAACACGGCCACGTCTGGGTGGGGTGGGGGGTGGGGGGCTGTTGCCCAGATACCCTGGCGCAAGCCGCACAGGCGGGGGAGGTAGCCGGGTCTGAGGCCCCGCCCGATGGGAGTGGTGATGGGGTGCCTGCAGCCCGGGGGCCGGGGTCAGGTGCCCGCTTGGGGAGAACCCTGCCCCGCCAGGTCAGGGAGCACTGTGACGTGCTGTCCTGGAGGGTCTGACGGTGCCCACGGCGGGTGTCCGGTCTCCAGGACCGTTGCGGGGTCAGCGGTCAGCGTCCTGCAGGTGTGATGTCCAGAGGCCACCGGCTGCCCCGCGGGAGCTCACACGGGGGTCAGCGTGCGCTCTGTGTGAAGCAGGTCTGGTCGTTGTCCGTGTGCATGTTCAACATGTCATTTCTCTGAAAGGAAAGTTTACATTAGGAAATACATGAGGTTTAAAAGCACCTTTAGGCTTTTCTCACCTTGCACGACTGTTACCTGGGATTTTTTCCAGAGACAATTACACGTATGACGCCCACAGGTGTGGACGTTTCCGTGTGTCTCCACGTGAGCTGGAGCCGGGGGACCAGCCGGCCTCCTTGTTGGGACCGAGGGGCTCCTGGGATGCGGGACGTTCTTGATAAAACAGGAAAAGCAGGGCAAACCAGGGCGGGTGGGTCACCCCACGGGGCGGGAGTCAGCCCAAACCCAGGGTGTGGACAGGCTGGTCAGCTTGGCCGCGGGGTTCGAGGCTGGGGCTCGGCTCTGACGTGTGTTTGTGTAGCCCCCACCCCGGTCCCTGACTGTGTTAACCGTGTCCTACACGAACGGCTTCGTTTGAACCTCAAACAAATCCTGATGAGATAAGTGCAGACCCCATTGTACAGACGAGGAAGCCCGAGGCCCGAGAGACACGTGTCAGAGGACATGCAGTGAGGGCAGAGCCAGGTGTGGTCCAGGGCTGCCAACATCAAGACCAGGGCCCGCGGCAGATGCTCCTGGGCGGATGCGGGGATGCGCAGGCAGAAGCCGGCCGCCTTGGGTAAAATCAGGAAAGACGCTCACGCCTGCCTGCCTGCCTGCCGGGGCGCAGCTCACAGAGGCAGGGTGTCTCAGAGGAGACAGAGTGGCCCCTGGGGCAGAAGGAGAATCATGACCACGCAGGGTCAGCTGTCCAGCATCCTGTCTCCAGTGGGCGTGTCCAGGGACCTGGATGAGCTCAGGCTTCCAGAAGTTGCTTAGGGAGGCAGTGGTCTCCCCCACCAGACAAGGTTTTTAGAAACCAAGTCCATCTCCCCATGGCCTTGGGTCCCTGTGTCCAGTCCTGCTTTCACCAACTGCCTGAGGGCCGTGCAGAGCAGAAGGGTTTAACACGTGCCCTTCTGTGCTTTTCCCAAGATGAAATTCTAGTCCAGGAGATGATGGAGTCAAATAGATCATCATTTTTTGACGCACAAAAACCACTACCAACATTCCCAACAAGAACAACCTCAACAACATTAACAATGACTCCAACAAAGAAAAAAAGCAAGTATACACTTTTTCAAGCCTTAATTGCCAGCATTCCTGGAGGTCTGTGGTGTGTATGCATAGTTTCATCTTGGCAGCATCTTTGAGATCAGCTACTCCTGGGGCGAAAGCAGATGGAGATGTGAAGGATACAGTAGTCCCACATTTTCTGTAATCTTCCCGGGGCAGGAAGGTCAAACCCAGATGGGCAGAGACAAGCTCCTGTACTCTGGGGGGCGGGGGCATCTCTGGGGGCACATGCAGTAGAGGCCTGGTGCTTGGGGTGCATGTGGGGTTTAGTCACTGCAGGACCCCAGGATGCAGGCAGATCGGAGCTCCTGACTACCCGGCGAGTGTGACGCTCCCCTAAGCCTCCTGAGAGCAGGGGCGGGGAATTGACCCCAGCCGACAGGGGACAAAACTAGGGTCTGAATGGACTGGCCCCAGCCACAGAGCTGATAGTGAACAAAACAGCGTGCTTTTCCCAAGTGCAATTTTGTTGTTGCTCCATCGCTCAGTTGTGTCTGACTCTTTGCAACCCCATGGACTGCAGCATGCCAGGCTTCCCTGTCCTTCACCATCTCCTAGAGTTTGCAGCTTAGCATGGTCCAAACATACACAGAAAAGGGAAATATCACCCTGAGGTCCAAACAGAACACTCAGTTAACCCTCAACGATGGTGAGAGCCGTGTGTCTGAAATTACAACAGAGCATGGAATGCATTCAGCAGCAGGGAAGGTCAGCGTTTACTTGAAATTCTGCATCCAGATGTCAATGCCAGTTCCTGGGATTAGCTCTCAGAACATCCACCGAACGGCTGTGTTCACAGAGGTCAGAGAATGCCCGCCTGTGCATGTTGACTCCCTAGAGCACGTTGTCAGGAGAAGCTGGAAAGTGTGTTAGCGTCCCCGCCTCAGGTTCCAAACTGCAGTGTGGGTCAGAGCATCCCTGCATTCATGCTTTGCCTGGCTTTGTTTTTTCCATGCTCTTCATCAAAGAAGCCCGTATTAAAATGAATTATCAGGCCAGCACTAATAAGAAGATGCAGCATGAAAGTCAGCTCTCTGCCAAGGACGACAAACTCTTCTTTAACGGTAAATGCACCCTGGCGGGCCCCGCCCGAGCTCAGCCATGGTGGGAGGACCAGAGTCTGCAGAGGGAGATGCCTCCTTCCCGGGGTGAACAGCCTGGACGGAGAGTGAGGCCACTGCCCCATGTCGGGTCAGGCAGGTCCCCGCCTCATGGGGACGGGGGGCCCAGGCCCACCTCCTGCCTGTGGGCCTGAGGAGCACGCAGTCCTGCCGTCCTGCAGGCAGGCAGCCGCCCCAGCAGGGGAGGGCATCCTGGTGCTGCCCCACCCCTTGCCCCCACTATTCCATTGCGGTCACTGCTCCTTCCCCGGGCGAGTGGGGTGGGGAGAGCCCAGTGTCCCCGAGGGGAGCCCCCACGGAGGGGGATGAAGAGCAGTGAGCCAGGGCGCTGAGCCAGCATCCTTCGGGGTCACAGAGCAGCCCTTTAGCCTGGAGGCCAGGCACAAGGAAGGGGGCATCGCACAGCTCCCGGGGCTCCCTCTGCGCCCCGACCTGAGCGCTGGAAGCGAGACGAGGTCCTGGGGCACGGGCGCTGACTCCAGTACTCTCCCGGGCCCCACTGAGCTTCACTAAGGCAGGGCCAGGACCTCAGGTCTCAGTCTGTCCCTGGTCTCCGGGCTCTCCCAGGAGCCAGCCTCTGGGTTTGGAAGCAGGAGCAGTAACAGGAGTCCGGTCCAGTTAACACTTCTAAGACCTCTGGGCGCAGCCCGCTCCTTAACTGTGCAAACGGCCTGGTGGTTATGAGATAAATAAAGCTGGACATCTTCTTGCGGGCCCACGGTGGGAGAGGTTATGGGACGAGTCTATGCCGAAAGGTCTGAGCACGAGCTGGCCTGGCCTGGGGGCACAGGCTCCCTGCGGCCCGCTCATCGCAGTTGCTGAAGAGGGGAGAATGGGCTGAACGTCCCGGGACGGGAGCCCCTGGAGGGGCTGTCGGGGGTCAGGGGTGAGACAGGAAGGACGGGGTGGGGCCAGTCCACTGTCCGAGAATGCACCGGCTCACTGGGGTCCTCAGAGGGACCATGAGATTCTGCAGCCGGCCGCGAGGTGGCCGGACGCAAAGGGGACCACACCCACCACTGTGCGTGTCCCCGGCCGCCCCTCCATCCTGAGACTGACCCGAGGGCCCAGTGGGGCA